AACTATTGCTGTCATAATAAATACAAGGTCAACTGTGTTTACAATTGATTAGGTAACAGTTACTATGTGCTTACTAACATATATTCATTGTAACAATAAATTGCCGTGAAATATACAATGTGTTATAAAAAGTCTGACACATTTAGTGATAAAATATGGAGACAAACTATGCTTAACATCAACGTAACGTAGTACACTAGTACCTTACCGTATGCTAGCTAAGGAGGAGGCGGCAGCATGAGGCAGCGAAAGTAATTTTAAGCAGCTTAAAAGTAATATTACTATTATCCTTACTATCCTTACTAATATTATAAATCTGATAGTGAGTTTGTTTGTTTGTTCCACCTTCACGCCGTAACTACTCAACCGATTGCTTTGAATTTTTGCAGACGTAAAGTTAGAAGTCCGGATTAAATAATAGGGTACTTTTTATCCTGGAAAAATTTGATATTCCCGAGGGAAAACAAAAGTATTGGTATAGATGGAGCTGTATGTATTGGTATATGTCGCATATGCTACTTTTTATGCTTTTGTGACGCGAGCGAAGCCGCGGGTAAAAGCTAGTATATTATATAAAAGTAATATTAATAATATATGTATAAGATAAGTTAGTGCATCTTGACATTAACTTATAGATTTATTGTAAAATTAATAAATACTTGTACACCGGTCACGGTCAAGCATGTTGGTACCAACAATACTGTACTTACATCTATAGTAAACATCCATTTTTGCATGTATAATTGTAACCTACACATGTTTTGGCAAATAAAACTATCTTTATCTTTAACTTTATCTTTATACAAACCACTTTAAATAGTGTTAAATCAATCAAACTTATAATATCAGTAACTGCACCATTTTTTTCTGATTTTATGATTGCTTCAGTTTTCGATATCTCTTATACTATTAATTATAAAGCGGAAGAGTTTGTTTTTTTGTTTGATTGTTTGAACGCGCTAATCTCCGTAACTACAAGTCTGATTTGAATAATTATTTTTGTGTTGGATAGCGCATTTATCGAGGATGTCTATAGGCTATAAAACATCACGCTACGACCAATAGGAGCTGAGCAGAGCGTGTGAAACAGTGCGGAAGTAGCTAGTATCTAAATAAATGACAAAAATACATCAGTTTTTCTAAAAATCAAAACAGCTCTCCTGAACATTTCACTTTTTGTCGCTTATTTCCTATTTCCTGTTAACAGTCGATATGTATGCAGTGTATGCACATGGGAAAACAGGTTTTATCTAATTAAATAGTTTGTTGACAAACAACATAAAAGTACCTGTACCTACCTACATTACTAGATAGAAAGTCGCGTGAGTGTATCTACTACACTGGGGAATTAAAGATGTACCTAACGTTTATTTATATTTTCAATACATTAAATTATATTTTTAGAATTTCAATTTCAAAAATAGCATTAAACACGTCGTATACTACTTTTGGAAAAATCTAAATATCGCGATATAACCGAATTCCACGCGAGTAGAAAGCTATTTGTTTGTTTGCCTGTCTTAAACGGCAGAACGGAGGTACTAAATAACGTGATTTTTTAACTGAAGGTAGTTGAAGGGATGGATAGTCACATAGGCTACTTTTTTAGAAACATTTAACTTACAAGTGCTCTATTGAAGCATGCTTTCGTACTTGACCATTCTATCAATCAAACAAGAATCCACTTGCTTGGAAACTATGCTTAACAGAGGAAGCCAAATTCAGTCTCAATGTCATCAACGGCTTATAAATACCCACTGCTGAGCAAAGCATCTTCTCATATAGAGAAGGTTAGAGCATTAATTACTACGCTTGCTTAATGCGGGTCGGCGATTTCAAACTTATAATAAGAAATCATAAGCCCAGGTTTCCTCACGATGTTTTCCTTCACCGTTGGTCAGTGGTGTCTAAATAATCTTTAGAAAATACATATAACTCGGTAAACGTCACATTGGTAGGTACTTGCCGTTGGTAGGTTTCGAACCTGTACCCTCAATAACTTCATATTACTTTAAATTCCACGGGCGGCGCCGACTGCTTACCATCAGATGATGCTTCTGCTCGTTTACCGGCTTATTCCATAAAAAAAATTAAACAGTGTTTAAGGGAATCGATTATTTCTAATTCGTGACTATAATATTTATAATGTATGTGTCTTTTACCAATCTAACAAAGTGGTTACGGGTCGCCTGTCTTGTGAATGACAGGGACAAACATACATATCTACATTAAAACTACATTTAATATATTCACCCCTAACCACTACCCTGCCACTATGGGGATCAATTTGAAATTATCCATAGACAGTAATCAACTCTACTAAGGTACTGTGGCCAGTCTACCTATCCTGTCGCGGAGAACCTAACGAGTAACCGGGGCTCCGGCTCGACGTGCAGGAGAAGGAACGGGGTGGTTTTTAGTCAGTAAGAGTCTGACCCTCCCTCCTCACCCAGGTGGGAGCAGTCATTCGATGATTTTCCCCCCTTAAAAAAAAAAGTCTACCTATCCTATTCTGTCATCTAATACATCTTCACGTTTATTGAATTGACATAAAGTCGAAATTTCAATGAATAAATTTGACAGGATGGAGTAGGTTGACCAGAGACCTTAGTTCGAGTTTGTTTTCCGTTTAAAGTAATCGTGACGAGTAAGCGTTCGACGCTGTGATTGGCCGGCTCAAATAAACCAACCAATCAGAGCGACGCGTACTCGTCACTATTACTTACTTACTAGTAAGCCCTCTGCTGGCCACTGTATATTATCTATAATATAAGTATCATCTATATCTATCTATACATGTAATAAATCGTAGAAAAGACAAAACTGTACATTGAATATTTTTTGAAAGAATATTTGGAGCGTGATCTACAATCGATAGATACTGAAGCCAAAAATATGGTTTTTAGAATTGTTGTCTGTTTGTCTGTATGTGTGTCCGGGATGATCTCAAAAAGTACTGCATAGATTTACGTCAAATTTTGCATGAATATTACTGACAAATTAGGTCAACATATCATCATACTATCATCTACAGGAGAGGAGCCCTATATTAGGTACTGAATCAATTCTGACGACATTAAGTACCGTAGAATATCCCTTGATAAATACTAATTCAAAAGCCTAAATTCTGCCAGAAGGCATTATTCTACGCGGACGAAGTCGTGGGCAACAGCTAGTATACCTAATAAAGATCTCATATCGATGGTGTCACAAATGATAAATGATATTTACTCAGTAATTATTATCATTGTGGTCAATGTTTTTTTTATTTTGTAGATACGTATATATTGTAAAAGTTAGAAATGTAGGTAGTATTTTTTTATTTAATTCCTAGTATGCTGTAATATAGACATACGTGAGACACAATGTGTTTTCTATTGAGTCTCACATGGCAACAGATAAGAGGTTAAGCCGTGTAGTGTGTCGCGGAGAACCTAATGGGTTACCGGGGCTTCGGCTCGAGGTGCAAGAGAAGGAACGGGGTGGTTTTTAGTTACTAAGAGTCTGACACTCTCTCCCGCCTCACCCAGGCGGGAGCAGTCATCCGATGAGTTTCGCCCATTAAAAAAAAGCCGTAGTGTCCCCAAGGTTTAACTAAATCTGTCGAAGCCTCTCGGATAGATTTTGATGCACTTCTGCATGTTGGAAAAGTAGCTACATCGTAGTTACTACATTTTATGACTTGTTACTCCCGCACGTTTTAACCCGCTCTGCTTGACTTCTATTAATCCCAGCGTGTTGTATTATAACCTGTAGCCTTCCTCGACAAAAAGACTATTCAACATAACATAACATCACGCCTTTTATCCCCGAAGGGGTAGGCAGAGGTGCACATTTCGGCACTTAATGCCAATGTCCCACCCACTTTTCACTATTTATGTTATGATTCCCATGTAATAGGGGGTGAGCCTATTATCATATACCGGGCACATTTCCAGACTCCGTGCTACTACTGAAATTTTTTAAAACCCAGTAATACTTTGCCCGACCCGGGAATCGAACCCGAGACCCCTTGCTCGGCAGTCAGACTTGCGACCACTCGGCCAACGAGGAAGTTTATTCACTATTCAACACAGAAACAATTATTCAAATCGATTCAGTAGTTCCAGAGATATGCGCGTTCAAACAAACAAAGAAGCTCTAGAAGAAAAAAGTACCTATTATAAACGTAGGGGCGGTTGTACCAACTTCCATACATTAACTTTAGACTTCAGTCGTTCTTTAACCATTACAGAAAGAGTTACTATACTTGAGGGCATTGACCTAATAACCCTTACCGGCCACACACCCCTTAGCCATTAAGTGGACAGTGGGGTCGAAATAGATAACAACCGTTGAACACTTTCACTTTGTACCGAAAATATGATCTATAGTCGACTACATATTAAAGACTCGGTTGCCAAAGATAGAAAAAAAATGGTTGATCTACGCCTGTCGCATTATAAGGAAATAGTATTGTTCCTCGCTTAAGATACGAGAGCAGTTCCATCTACAAAATGTAACTGTATCCTATGTGAAACTTACTACTATTTCTTAGGTACTCTAACTTTCAAAAGATGGATGATATACGTTACATCTATTATAACACTACTTCTGCTTACCCATAAGAGATGAAGTGTCCTTGTTTTACCACGCTGTGTTATATCATGTTATGGTCGAACTAAATGTTATTACTGCTAATAAACTAGGACTTATCTCAATGTCATGACTAGTATTATGACACTATTGTCCCGATTAATGAGGCAACATCTATATACCTCTATTCACTACTGCACCGATGACATCAAGCTGCAAATACGAATCCCCACGGTGACCTTACATTCACTGTTATAATAATAACTGTAGTATATATTTATTTGTTTGCCTGTAATATACCTATATAGGCACCAAATTCTTCAATAACCTAAACTCAAATACACAAAACAAATAACAACTATTTTCCTTCTCCAGATCACCGCAATCAAAAAACAGAATCAACGTTATGCAATAACAAACAAACAATGGCAGACACAAAGGACACTGAAAAATCTAAAGAAGAATTAAACAATGGACATGCAAATATTCCAAACAATACAGATATCAATACAATTAATTCCATCAAATCAGAGGATAATGGCACTGTCGTCCATTACTCAAGAGATGAAGTTGAGTCACCTGTTGAACGGGTCAAGTTCGAAGGCTTAGACGATAATGATAGTATATATTCGGAAGATAGCCATGATTTAAAAAAAACAGCTCTTCCAGCTATACCCGATGGCGGGTGGGGCTGGGTTGTAGTCGCTGCATCATTCCTAATATCAGCATGTGCTGATGGCCTCGCAGTTTCCTTCGGTCTTCTACATGAGGAATTTACTGCTTACTTTGAAACTACACAATCAAAAACTTCATTGATTGGCAGTCTCTTCATCGCTACTCCATTATTAGCAGGGCCAGTAATGAGTGCCTTAGTGGATAGGTATGGATGTAGAGTCATGACCATGATAGCTGGAGTTCTCTCTACTCTGGGTTTCCTATTAGCTTCTGTAAGTAACTCAGTAGAAATGTTATGTCTAACTTATGGCTTCATAAGTGGATTAGCAATGGGAATATTGTACGTAACTATGGTAGTGTCTGTAGCTTTCTGGTTTGATAAACGAAGAAATCTAGCAGTATCTTTAGCCACGTGTGGCATAGGTTTCGGTACTCTTATTTATTCACCAATGACTCACTACCTCTTAGAAATATACGATTGGAGAAATACTATTGTTTTATTAGCTGGTACTCTACTTAATGTGTGTGTATGTGGAGCATTAATGAAGACACCAGAGTGGTTAATAATTAAACAGAAACGAGAGCGAAGACTCTCTAAAGCTAGATCTCGGAGATCATCTAGTGCTGGTTCTACTTCATCGAGATCTATAGGAGGAGAGTCAGCGTACTTAGACTCTGAAGAGTTGAAGACGTTGTTGGAATCTGGGAAGAGTCCTGAATATATTTTAGCGACATTAGCAACTAGTATAGCAGAAGCTGAAGAATTGGAAGCTACAACACAAGCAAATGCTGAAAGTCCGAGCAAGAGAATGCATTCAGCTATACATCTACCTACGTTTGTTCAACAGAACGAGAAGGTACAATTCTGTGACATAGTTAATTATTTTTATTAACATAATCTATATAACTTTATTTTTAAACAGTATTAATTGTAACGCATTTTATTTTACAGGTACCAACTGAAGTATTAGACAAGCTGATGAAAAATAGGCGACTCTACAGCATTATTTTACAAAACTATCCAGACGTGTTAACGCGTAGGCATTCGGACATCAATATCAATATAGAAAATCCAGAAAACACTAAAGGACCTGCAAAGTTTCCCGTAGAAATTAAAGTAAAGAAACCTAAAGATGGAACTGAGGCAGAGGTTAAAAAAGGCGAGAGTGAGAAGAAAGTAGATAATGAAGCTCTAAAGACTGAGACTACGAAGTCTAAAACAAATATTAATTTAACGAAGCAGAAACTCATTGAGAATGACGCAAAACTATTGCAACAGCAACAGGGTTGGTTTAAGCAAATGTCAACAGACCACCATTACCTGAGAGATGTGCCCTTGTATAAAACGACACTGATGCACCGAGGCGCCATGATGTCTATAACTAGGTATAAACTTAGAGCTTCATCGCTACCCGATATGTATAGGAATTCATCGTGGTCTCTTTACTCTGAATCTGATGATGAAATGGTAAGTTCTCCGCGACAACTATTAAACACTAGATAGACTATACTTAGATGGGGCTCAGTAGGGCTGATGCCCGATACGCAGCCGCGGAAGGCCTAACGGGTTGCCGGGGCTCCGGCTAGAAGAGCAGGAGTAGGAACGGGGTGGTTTGTAATCAGTGAGAGTCTGACACTCCCTCTTGCCTCACCCGGGCGGAAGAAGTAATTGGATGATTTTCCCCCTTAAAAAAAAGATAGACTATATTAGAAAATTAGATGATTATAATAAAATAGATATTTCTGTCACTATATTTCTGAATCACACATACTGATTTTTTTGTTGCAGAGATGGTACAACCGCTTATTCCAAGCCCTAAGCTCCATGTTTGATTTCAAAATGTTCACGGAGTTCCATTTCCTGCTGTTCAATCTATCTTGTTTGATTCTCTCTGTGTGGTTCATCGTGCCCTACTTCTTCCTCAACTCCTATATGAATGAAATGAACACAGCAGGTGGACCTTTGATGATTTCTATTATTGGAGTTTCTAGCAGCATTGGAATTGTAAGTGTAACCATTAATTTTCCTTTTCATATCTTTCATATTCGTTTTATATAATTACAGAACCTGCTTTTGTTTACTTACTACATAACATAGCATAACATAACATCACGCCTTTTATCCTCAAAGGGGTAGGCAGAGGTGCACATTATACCACTGTACAATGTAACACCCACTTTTCACTATTTATGTTATGATTCCCATGTAATAGGGGGTGAGCCTATTGCCATATACCGGGCACAGTTCCAGACTCCGTGCTACTACTGAGATTTCTTTTTAAAACCCAGTAATACTTTGCCCGACCCGGGAATCGAACCCGAGACCCCTTGCTCGGCAGTCGCAATTGCGACCACTCGGCCAACGAGGCAGTCAGTACTACATATACTTTAATAATCAGTTTCTTTCTAGCAAGTAAATGGTTCACAAAATCCATTATTGCCTTATCTTTAATTTTGTTACCTAAACAGGCGGTGTCTAAAATGAGCATTTTCGTTTAAAAACTATCTCTAACTCAACTATGTTTATAATAAACATGTATGTTCTACCTTCCTTCTTCTAGGTAGCTCTCGGTTGGGCAGGAGACCAGCCCTGGGTGAATGTAACCAAGACTTATGCTTGGTGCCTCATCCTCTGCGGGGCGACCGTTGCCATCTATCCTCTGTTCATTACCAACTATTGGGCCTTGACTGTCAACTCCACGTTCTTCGGTCTCAGTGTCGCCAGTGCCTACTCCTATATACCCATGATCCTCATGGAATTGATGCCTATTGAAAACTTTACTGTGGCGTATGGACTAATCCTTCTCACGCAAGGTATTGGGCATCTCGTTGGACCGCCTATTGGAGGTGAGAATTTTATTTGATTTTGTCTAAAAATATTAGAAAGTTTTTTGATGGGGGAAAATCATCCAATGACTTCTTCCGCCTTGGGTTGGCGAGAGGGAGTGTCAGACTTACTGACTAAAAACCACCCGTTCCTACTCCTGCACTTCGAGCCGGAGCCCCGACAACCCGTTAAGTCTTGTTTGGAGATAAGGAGTTTGAAGATCGTTATCGGAGGGTAATTGGGCCTCCGGTAACCTCACTCACACAACGCAAGCTGCTGCGTTGCTTCACGTCGGTTTTCTGTGAGGTCGTGGTATCACTCCGGTCGAGCCGACCCATTCGTGCCGAAGCATGGCTCTCCCACACTTAATCGTCTTTAACCCTAATTTTCCTTATTTCCAGGTATGCTGTACGATTTCACCGGATCTTGGGAGCTAACGTTCTACATAGCAGGGTTATGGCTAGTCGTATCCGGTCTGTTTGTGGGAGCTATAGCATACACAAAGAACTTAAGACTCTGTGGCACAACACCTCTTTTAAAGGAGGCTGCGGAAGCCGCCAAAAAACTGAATGGAAATGCTGATGTGTAATGTGATAATGTAACTTGGAGCTATTGTAATAAAGTTCTTTTTTAGTTCCGTAGATTATCGTTTTTTTTTTAATTTTGTGTGACATACTATAGACCCCGGGATGAAAAACGAGTTCAAATAATTCATCATTTTCTTTTTAATTGACTTGATATTGGTGTTTTTACAATATTAAGCAGATTAAAAGAAATATAGTAAAAAAAAATGTCGTGGTGGCCCGGAGGTTTAAGACGCCCACTTCTCATGCATGAGGGTGCGGGTTCGAAACCTACCAACGGCAAGTACCAATGTGACTTTTTCCGAGTTATATGTACTTTCTAAGATTATTTAGACACCACTGACAAACGGTGAAGGAAAAACATCGTGAGGAAACTATAACTATAATTTCTAATTATAAGTTTGAAATCGCCAACCCGCATGGAGCAAGCGTGGTGATTAATGCTCTAACCTTCTCCGTGTGAGAAGAGGCTTTGCTCAGCAGTGGGCATTTATAGGCTGTTGATGATGATGATAGTCTATTTAGGGACAAATCAAATTAAATGACAATCAAAACTTTATACTGTGACTTCACTGATTTGGATCGGATTGCAATATGTTTTCACGTAATGCCGACAAAAATATGCTATCTATATTTCGGAGTCGCGGAGAACCTAACGGGTAACCGGGGCTCCGGCTCGACGTGCAGGAGAAGGAACGGGGTGGTTTTTAGTCAGTAAGAGTCTGACACTCCCTTCCGCCTCACCCAGGCGGGAGCAGTCATTCGATGATTTTCCCCCCTTAAAAAAAAAAAAATGCTATCTATATAAATAAATAGGTATGACTTTCTGTTTGTTAGTCTCGCTAAAATCGATAATGGCTGAAACTATTTGATTAATTGTTGTCTTGAAATGTTCGTGAAGGATTAAGTACAGGGAAGGATTAATAGGTGAAAGAAAAGTCGATACCAAGTTGCCACGTGAGCTAGTCGTAAATAAAACTGAGCATAGATATAGGTATATAAATTAAATATTAAAAAAAAGTCAAAACATCATAACTTCACGCCTTTTATCCCCGAAGGAGTAGGCAGAGGTGCACATTATGCCACTGTACAATGTCACACCTACTTTTCACTATTTATGTTATGAGTCCCATGTAATAGGGGTGAGCCTTTTGCCATATACCGGGCACATTTCCAGACTCCGTGCTATTACTGAGATTTTTTTAAAACCCAGTAATACTTTGCCTGACCCGGGAATCGAACCCGAGACCCCTTGCCCGGTAGTCGCACTTGCGTCCACTCGACCAACGAGGCAGTCATCAAAAAGTCGAAAGTCAATGCATTAATTCAATTAAACCATAATTTGGTACTTTTGAAACTTTAACAAATACAAAATAAATAATAGTCTGTCAGTCAGTACGTCAGTGAAGCTAGGTTATCTTCTTTAACTTCGGCGGTTATTTATTTTATTATTCATTACTTCAAAATCACGTATCTATCAGGCTAATATTTATCAATGTCACGATACTTACCTCTAGTACGATTAATTGTCGTCGGTCAAAATAAATTGTAATAACTATCAATTAAATATTCGTATCAGAAACTGATAAAGTAATCTTTATTTATATAATTATGCTGTACGTGTGTATGTCATTGAACTCCTCCTAAACGGCTTGACCGATTTAAATGATTTTTTCTATACGCGTTTGAGTGGCGCCCTGGATGGTTTAGATTAACAAATCAGCCCGGCAGATGGCGCTAGGTTAATAGGTTATTTATCCTAAACGGCTGAACTAATTTAAATGAATTTATGTTTATACATTCAAGTGGAAATGCAGGACAACGTCTGTCGGGTCCACTAGTTCAGTATAAAATATTCAGATATTTGTACTTAATAACTGATAATATTGATTAAAAGTATCTAGTTTTGGAGTTAATTGGTAGAGTTTTTGGATTTAGAAACTACACATAACATAACATTACGCCTTTTATCCCTGAAGGGGTAGACAAAGGTGCACATTACGGCGCTTAATACCACTGTAACACCCACTTTTCACTATTTATGTTACGAGCACCCATGTAATAAGGGGTGAGCCTATTGCCTCACTAGCAAACTGATATTTTTTTTAAATCTCAGTAATTCTTTGTCCGACTTGGGAATCGAACCAACGACGAAGTTTCGATAAGTTTAGTTTTAATTTAGAACTCCAAAGTCAAGTCTAAAATGGACCTCGAGGTTGCTTGGGATTTTTTTTATACGTTACCCCCCACAAGGAATTTCTCGTGTTTCATAGGTGCGTTTACAAACATACAAGTTCCAATACATATAACACCCAGACCCGAAACAACTATTTGTGGATTACATAAAGAGTTGAGTTGTCGTGCGGTTATCGCAGCCCAGACACGTTGCATGGCAGCCGGTTGCCCAGCCACCGTACCAACCGTGCAGCAACTTTTGTATGCGGTCGCCGCGACCGCGCACGCTTCTCATGAGGAAGAACCCCTCTGTGGTTCGAAACTAGTAGAGCTTTTCTCAGTATACTCAAGTGAGTAACCCGCAGTTTTTAGTTAATTTAGTATGTCTCACGATAGTTATTATAAAAACTTTTGTATGCTTCGATTCTTGGGAGTTGAACCACAGATAAATCCTAAGTTGGCATAAACAATAACTTAGGTATCTATACAATATCTTTTTATAATTAGCTTTAGTACCAATTATCATTCTTCTGCTCCTATAGTGTAATGACTCACTATTTCTACCAGAGGGTTGGTTGGTTCACTGGAGCCGGCCAATCAGAGCGCCGAACGCGCTCGATACCATTACGTTACGAATGCGATAGTTATTCGTGCTTGGCACTCAGATCACATCCTTAGCAGATTTAATACACTGCATACCAAAATAAACTTTATACAGTTCAATATAAAGTATTAAATCCAGTGTTAATCATTATCAACCGCAAACTTCAACTATTACAAAATATAGCTGAATTCTATTTATTTATTAAAAAATAGAAAATGGTTAGCGCAAACGAAAATCAACTTAACTGCTTTATATAGAAGGTACAAAATGAATTATTAACGACAATAGGGATAGTTATTAATAAAAAACGCATTGAAACTTTACAATAACAACTTTATTGTGAAGGGAACAACGATCAAGTAAGTCAGGATGTCAACAACAGTTGGGTCTACCACCAGTCAGATACATTGAGTCTGTTAATAGATACAAGGTTTCTATACCTATTACAATTATCCACACACACACACACGCACGAAGCGCTTCGCATCAAGCTTCCTTGTGCGTATGCTAAGGAATGGAATTATTTGCCAGAGTCTAAATTTCCTGAAGGGTATAACCTGGGTGTCTTCAAGGCCAGAGTAAATAGGTTGCTTATGGGTCGACGTGCTCTATCGTAGACCGCATCATCGCTTAACACCAGGCGAGATAGTGGTCAAACGTTGGCGCATCAAACATAAAAAAAAAATTGATATGACTTGAACTGACGAAAAGCCGTCACGACTAATTTCACCAGCGCATACTGTTTATTGGCTATGTGCGCGACGGTGGCGACGCGTAGCGTTTAAGTACAACATTTGCGGAAGCTGTCAAATAATAACAATGTAAACATTATAATTTTCTTTGCAAATATAAATAAAAAAAAAACGATTAAAATAGTATTGTTGACATTATTTAAGTGCAATTTATTCAATCGTTTTACTGTAAAATAAATATAATAATAAAAACCTAATAAAATCATCCGCATTTGTTTCCAATTTCTACTGTGTTGTGCGCTGCGGTCATTATCTGTGCGCCAATACTCGCTTTGCACATAGCCAATACACATGAGTTCCGGAGCGGATTGATATTAATAAACATGAGTAAGGTAATAATTAATGGGATTTTTTTTAATCTCCTCAAATGTAGTGTACCTACTTAGTTAGTAGATATCACCGTGTTAGTAGAGACACTTCGCCAGTCGTAACACAAACTAATAGGTACTACTTATAACTACTTTCTGTGCTGCAACTAAGCCTTGTTATGTATGAGAGAACCAGAAAAATCCTTTTGTCACCAACAGTGAACAAATTCTAGACTGTATTTAGGAAAAATAGAAATGTTCAAATTAAATCAAAATGTATTTCTTCACAAACATTTCAGTATAGGTATGTGTATAACCATTAAAGCTTTGAGACATACTAAATTAGCATTCCGCACTGAATGCTGCTCATGAATATGAGCCTTTAGCGTGGCTTGAAACTAGTCGAGTTCCTCGTCAAACAGTTACGCGAGTAAGCCGAAAAAATAATAATCAATTTCAGTATATAACATCAATTAATGATTATCTGTTGACACTGAACAAACAGTGATAATGACCTCATCGTTATCGAGTTTTGGGCTTCGATTACATTGACCAGTGATCGGGAATTTAATTACGGTGATAAAAATGACTAAATGTTGAGACTGACGGCCCAAATTACTTAGTAACCGATTGATGTCGAATGTCCATTTTTGCAATCGCTATCCGCTGTCTGTCTGTCCCTATGTATGCTTAGATCTTTAAAACTACGCAACGGATTTTGATGCGGTTTTTTTTTAATAGATGGAGTGATTCTTAAGGAAGTTTTATATGCATATTGTACCCGTGCAAAGCCGGGGCAGGTCGCTAGTAAATACATATAAATTTCGTCTTAAATCTAGATCCATCTAGATAATTATTTTGGGCTGACATAATATATTCATTAAGTACTTATTTCAGCCGATAGTTACTTGTACTTAAACGAACAGAATTGATTATAAGGAAATGCACTATTATGAATAGATTGTGCAGTTGTCAATGGCGAAATAATATCATGAAATTGATTCGATTGACTGCCTCCTTGGCCGAGTGGTCGCAAGTGCCACTGCCGGTCAAGAGGTTATGGGTTCGATTCCCGGGTCGGGTAAAGTATTATTGGGTTTTTTTTAATCTCAGTAGTAGCACGGAGTCTGAAATTATGCCCAGTATATATGTCAATGCCTTCAATT